GAGCGATGAACTCATTTACAGTTTCTTCAGGATTCTGGAAGAGTCTGGAAAAGGAGTACCTGGATGTAAACATCCTTTGTCGAACACACCATAGGGTACTGAACGTATCCAAGGCACTGGTTGTGGCTACACAGACGTTGTCAATCCGGAGAGCATCGAAGAATCGCTGGCCTTCATCACCCAGGAACTGTCGCAATAGTTTGATCTTGTGTCTCTCTGTAAGCGAGACTAATGGATTCAGGATTGGAAGTAATTTCAGTTAGTCAAAGAAGGTTTACGATCATGTATTCCAACTGGCCATAGATGGTTTTTCTGTAGCATATAACCAGAACTGCGTGGGTGCATTCACAATTGACATGGTAATAGCCGTCGCCAAATGATGCGTATTAGTTACAGTAAGTAAAGGTACTAGAGCGTATGCTTAATAGGGCTGAGAACCCAGGGTATCGGGAGCAAGTCTGGAGAGGACACTGTGTAATTTACAACTGATAGAACGTCTGGCATGCATTAAGTGGGATACGATAAGATTGGTGTGTGTATGCGCGTGCGTACGTTTATGTGTGTCGTTCATCCAATTGAGTGGGTTAGGGCCTGACCTTCAGTGAAGATGTGATAATAGCATCAACACATGAATGGAAGTTTAATCATTTATTTGGTAGTAACCCACCTTATTTCACCACATCACAAGTATGTGTCTATAATGTATCCTGGACTTATTCTTCCTGCGTGTGTACCACCCATGGAACGAAGTATAACGTCGCTACTGTGAATTCACTGTTGCTACCACACACCAACGATCCTACACAACAAAGCGTTGTCGAAGGCAGGAAGACGGCGCATGCCTTCTACGTGCATTGGCCAGGACTCGCTCCCATACGACAGCAGTGAACGAACAGAGGCACCGTAAACACGGACCTTGATCGAGATGGAGGCGTCAGGACAACGCTAAAAGTGCCTCAGATTGTCATTTGCTGATGGGGCTTTATCGATGCATGGAGAAACTTCCTTGCTGTGAGTGCTGCCAGCAAATCACAGCTCCCAATTTAGACGAAACTATCTACCTGTTCAAGTTGTGCATTCTAAAGGGTGAGCACGGGAGCGGATGTAGGCCATCTTCAGAACAGCATTTTACATATGGGGAATGGGGCGAGACTTATGCTATACTTAGATGCTTCATCCGCTAAACGATTCAGAATGAGTTGCATACTCTGTGGATCGTCACCAGGTAAGGCGATAACAGCATCACATTCTGTCGGTCGCGCGCTTATCAGTTAGAAGCTCTAGACCAATATTTTGGAGGCCCTCTGGAGCTCTCGACAGGAGGTCTTCGATTGCAAAGTTGAATCAGAATAGGGATATGTGACAACCTTGTCGCACACCGCTATTCTCAGCGAACCACGCGAAAAATTTCCTTAGACCCTCGCTCCCCTGGAGTTAGGAAGGAAAAGTGGTCATAGAATGGCGGTGTACTTCTCTGGAACCCCTTTCTTTAGCAAGTAATGCCATAGAGCCGGTTGATCAACCGAGTCAAACACAGCCCGTATGTCTAGAAATGCAACGAAAGTGGGTCTGTGGTAAATGTGGAGGTGCTCGAGGAGTTGGTAAAGCGTGAAGTTTTGATCCACATATCAGCTGCCGGAGCGGAAACCAGCTTCTTCTTCACAACAGTAAGAGTCACGTATTGGAGATAGCATACGGAGCATAATGGATGGCAGCAGCTTGGAAGTAACTGAAATGGGACCAATCCCTCGATGTTTGATACAAGAAGTGCGAGCACCTTTCTTAAAAATCGGGACAGCAACGGATTTGCCCCAAGGTGAAGGCACTTTCTCTCCATGCCAGATTTTCGCGAACAAGATCAACTGTATAATGATTGCCACGCCTCCATGTCTGAACAGCTCCGGAAGATGTCCGTCTGAGCCATCAGCCTTGGATCGCTTCAAGCGTGGAATCTACTGGCAGGCTCCCATTTCGCTGGGTGGATCCAGATGGACGAGTCACGGTAGGCAACAGGGTGGTCGGAGTTCGGAACCCCTTATTTGAGCCCATGCAAGTCGATTGTGGTGTGTCGCAAGATTAACTTCCAGGTCCATATAGCCCGTAGCCTTTAGGACCGCAAGTCTCCCTTGTAATTGGAGGGCGCGGGTTCGAGCTTGCGTAGGGACCGGGCGACCCTAGCAGTATCCTTAGCTCACGCCCGAATGGTGGTGGCTGCATGGTAGCAAAGCGCCGGTACTGCGCACGGGCGTAATGCTAATGACTGCCCACGATTGTTTTTGATGTCTATCAAGGATCTCGTAAAGGAAATCTCTTCAAACTTCCTTCTGTTTGCCGACAACATCAAAATTTGGCGCAAGAATAAGGTGAATGCCTACCAAAGTCTGCTAAAGGGCGACTTAGACGCAGTACATCGGTGGTCAATCCAAAATTTACTGCAGTTCAACGTGACTAAATGCTAAGTACTCTTTATACTACACCAGATCAACTACTTATACAGGTTCGGAACACATGTACTGCAGCAATCTTCCGTCAAACGTGCTCTGTGAGTGCTGGTTCAGGATGACTTAGGTCGCTCCAGACAATCCGAAAAAGCCTCGAAAGCTGGTAACCAACATGTCTGGCTGTTGCGATGGGCGTTCGGATAAATAGACATTTCTATTTTTCGATAAATGCTCAGTGCGCATATTCGCCCTTTTGTGGAATACGCAATTGAAGCCTGGCAGCCATGGCTGAGGCACCATCTCACTGCACTGGAGCAACCTAAACGTCGGGCTTCTAAAAATGTCATTGAAATGCGCTATCTTTCATACGAGTAGAGGCTAAAACATTTGGGAGTATTCAGCTGGCGGTATCGCCGATCATAAGGTGACCTGACAAAGGCATAGTTGATGTTACACAATCCAAATCATGTGTGCCACTCTTTACCGCAAGTCAATGGTAATACAAACTTGAGATGTCACTTATTGAAACCCGTAGAACAGTGTAACCGTCCGGAATGCCACAGGAATTTATTTTCTATTCGCGTGTATCACCCGTGGAACGCTGTCGCCGAATCGGTCGTTTCCGCACCGACACTAGCAATATTTAAAAGACGGTTTAATGTCTCACTCATCCACTTTCACCCAGTTACTTAGCACTAGGTCTTCATCCCATTCCTGGAATATAACTGGAAATTATTTGCTGTTGCCCGTTGGTGCAATGGAACTAGGCGGATTGCAGGACTGCAGCGCAACAAACGATAACTCCTTCTTTCATACTTAAATCACTTACTGCTTTGTCATTATTTCTCTGTAATCCTACAAAACCACCCGACGGAACTTGTAAAGCAGTGCCACTTAATCCGAATAAATTTGTTGTTCATTGTACTGTGTGTTTGAACGGACGGTGCAGGGCAGTTGCGCTGCGAATGAAAATGCTCGCCCCATCGGTCCAAACACCTTTGCTTGTTGGTATTCGGAGACACAGCCGCCTCGCAGATGACCTCACTGACACTAAACTTCCTGAGGCCAGTGGACCGAATGGGTTGGAAAAGCATCCGAGTATTGACAAAGAAGGCAACGGACTCCACCTCCAAAGCACGCTCAGACCACGAAGCCTTGCGATCCTTGGGCAGGATTTGGTTGAGATTCCGAGTAGCAAAGCGGCGTAACTCGTAATCTGATTTTACAGGGCTATCTGCGGCGGTCACACAGTTTCAGACAGTGAGCAGAGATCCAAGCCTTTAAGGAGTATGGCTAATCCACAGCATGATTCCCCAGAAGTGCTCATTGTCTTCTGTGTACAATCCCAGCGTTACTTTCTGTCTTGCGGTGGATTACAACTGAGTTGTCTGATAGTGAAGACTGATGGATTATCGGGACTGAGGAATCAATTACTCGGGCTCGCAGCAATTTTGTTGTGCTTAATTCTTAGGGACTTCCAAAGCACAAGCTGATCTCCGCGCGGACCAACACACGGGTTGAGTCGATGAAGGTGAACAAAAAACTGCAATACCGTATGTTGCCCAGCCATCTGGAGATGCTTGCAACGTGATCAATTTGAAACCAAAGTTGTGTTGGCAAAGGTGGATGCCAAGTTGCGGAACTTACCTTCATATGCCTGAGGTTAGTGCTAGAGAAAAACAGATGGTTGTCTCCGCACAATGTGAGAAGCCTTTCTGCGTCATCCGTGCGCTCCTCATCGAGCGCGCGGTGACCGCTATGGTGACGGAGCTACTTAAGGAGAAATGTGGCCAGCACAGACAAACACGAACACACACTGTTTAAGCCGGTACGCGGCATCCGCAGTGTTGTATATATTTCCGTGAATCAAGAAGATAGTCAGGGCGACGATCACATTTCCGTTATTAAAGAACACAGGGGCTTTTTATACCGTACGTTACTATTCACTGATACGCACTTTAAAGGGTTGATTCTTTCCGTCTGCTTGCTTAAGTCCATTGGCTCGCGTCCGTCATTGGTTCTCAGATGTTTGGACCACCCCTCGCTTAACCGGAATGAAGACGCGCTTTGTTCACTAACCAAACTCATCCCGGTCGGTTCATTCGGGGCTTGCGCTGATTGGTTTTCCATTTGCCTCCTCTGTCTGTTTCGCCCATCTCGGCCTATCAGCTGTCATCCTGCGATGGGCACTGAGCTCATAACCTGTGTCACCTGCGAGCAACTCGTTTGCTGTTGACCAGGACAAAGACCGTGCTTGAATCACCAACTGCGCCCTGATTCCGCTTTGTTAACTTGACCGAATAAACGTGGTCACTTTTTGGTCGTGGTGCTGCTCGGATTTCCTGACGTTAGGCCAGCAACCATTTGTAAAATGAATAGTAACTGATAAACACGCAGTAGTAGATGGGGAGAGGCAATTCGTTCGTATTCCATCTAGGCGGTTGTTCTCGGGTACCATCAGCATTAATACTGTTACTAACTACAACATTACATGAATGCTGTGTGAGCATGATGTAAATGTTGCTACTTAAAGCAAATTTTAACTTATTTATTGAACAGATGCAAAGCTTACGCTGATCTAGAGGTTCACCCGATATCCAGAACCGCAGTGGGTTTCAGCTTCTCTGCTTTCTACCTCGGTACGGCTGGTTCCCTGGTTCCCCTGTCCACCAATTTGTCCCTCCACTGTGACACACGTGTATGTCACACAAGTGAGACCACTCGATATTGCCAGCAGTTCTGTGGTTCATCGTCCCATGCTGCGACTACGAAATTTATCCAACGTCTTCGTCGTAGCATCGGATCAAGACGAACCATCAGCAGTATGACGCACTCCCCAGCAGATCCACCGATTATGGTCAGTGAGGGTAGCATCCAAATACAGCATTTCTGAGTAAGTTCTTGTCATGGATGCGCATGAAATTGTGCATTATTTTATTCTGGCATAGAAACACTGTAATCGAATAGTTAACTCGTGGCATGCTGCGGAAAAAGAATTATTAGTAATCTATGACATGAACAATGAACAGTGATTTATAACGGGTAAAAAAGCAGGTGCTTGACATGTCCCGTAGGATGGTTAGAGTGAGAAAAGCTAGAGCAAGGGATAATGGAATCGTCGGTTCGGGTGATTACAGATTTCACTACAGTGTCGTATAAAGGGAGTTTGAAATTAGAATGTGCGCCCACAAAGCAATAAGAGGAGTGGTTTTTGATCACTTAATAAGCGAGAAAAAACAAAAATAGCAACCACAACGCTTACCCGTGTGCAGCTATCTCTGGTCGACGGGATACAGAAATCCAGTTTCTACAGTAGTAGCGTTTATCAAATTTTGTACAAGGTGTATGGAGCGACTCATTCTCGAGTAGGGTTATGGCACCGACCATCGTCTGTTGTGCATTAGTGCCAGCATCTGGTGATCATGGGCTATAGAACGTAGTTTAAATGTGACAGAATGTCGTTGACGCATTTTTTGAAAAGATATAGGGCGGGAGCATTAATTACATGTTTCGGGAGGGCGTTCCATGACTGTGACACTCGAAGGGAGAAAAAGTTTCTACATTCCAGTCGGCTGTACTGCCCGACCAGCTTACACTGATGACACCTTAGCGAGGTGTTTTGACTGAGTATCAGAAGGGAATGGCATGGGTAGTTGGGGTTTCTCAGGATCTGGTACACCATTATGAGATCGCCCCTTAGACGTCGATAACGGCCACTGTATATTTTGGGAGTCTTCAGCCTGAGTGGGTAGTTGAGGCTGGTCAAACCTCTGACGCTCTTCGTTGCCCTACCTTGTGCAGTATCGAGCGCGGTGAGATGGTGTTTGAGCCGGCGTTGCCACGCTTGAATAGCGTATTCCGCGTGCGGCCTCACGTACGCACTAAGCATTTTTGGAAAGACTTAAGGGTCAAACTTCCCGAAACCTATGCGAATAAGGCCGAGGTACTGGTTTGCTTTCCTAGATGCCTTTTCAGTCTGCCTCAAACAACCGAGGTTATCTTGAACTAGGACGCCGAGATCGCAGTCGTGAGAAGTCCGCTGTAGAATTTGTGGTCCTAGGCAGTACTTGTGTACACTCTTGTGCCGTATGCTGAGAATTTTGCACTTGATGACGTGGAAATGCAGCACGTTTTCGAAAAACCATGTGTACGCTTTGTCCAGGTCCTCCTGTAACGCCGTGTGTTCCTCCATTGCAGCTGTAGTACGCCATACCTTTAGATCATCAGCAAATAGCAAACAGTTAGAAGTTAGCATGCTCGCGAGATCATTTATGAAAACCAGGAACAGGCGGGGTCCAAGTACCGAGCCCTGAGGTACGCTGCACTGAACTTCGATGGATTCCGATAGGTTGCTTCGAACCCTCACATTCAGGTGACGTTGCACGAGAAAGTCGCTTATCCAGCCCAGAACATGATTGCCGATTCCATATTTCTGGAGTTTTTGGAGTAGAATGCGATGGTCAAGACGATCGAATGCCTTTGAGAAATCCAGGTAGGTCACGTCGACTCCTACACCAGCGTCCACAGATTCCGTCCAGCTTGCAAGAGCAATCAACAGATTAGTGGTACAGGACCGATTTTAGCGAAATCCGTGCTGCTCCGGAACGAGAATTTTGTTGTTCTCCAGGTACCCCATCAAAGCTTCAGCTACAATGGACTCCATAACCTTGGAGATCACAGGAAGTAGTGTTATCCGGCGATAATTTGTTGGTTCAGCACGGCTGCCACTTTTGTAGATTGGCGTGATGATCCCGTGCTTCCACCTCGTGGGGACGTGCATCTCGTTCAGATATCGTTGAAAGAAAATTGCCAATGTTCCTGCCAAACTCATGGCAGCAACTTTCAACGCCTTCGGACGAATGCCGTTCGCACCCGGGGAGCTGAACTCGCGCAGAGACACCCCCCACTTCAGTACAGTCTCGGAGGTAAACAATATATGATTAAGCCCTGATGGCGGCATTATTTGCTTAGGCAGGATGTATGATAATTGCACGCTTTGGAAGGTACGGCCAAATTGTTGTCCAAGAATGTTGGCCGCCTCTTGTGCGGTTTGGGCTAATCCGCATGCTGTGTGCAGAGCAGGAATACCGCGCTTAACACGGCGGAAATTGTTTACGTCTCTGTATAACAGTTTGGGATTGAAGCAAAACTTTTCCACTAGACCTTGTTGGTTCTTCAGTTTATCGTCCCGGACGAGTTTGACACAGTGATTTCTTTGTAATGTGTAGACATCCCAGGTATCATTGCTCGGGGAGACTATGTAGGTGCGCCATGCCAAGGCCCTTAATACCATGCATTTACGTATCCAGCTCCTTACGAAAGACTTCATACTTTTAGGCCAGTAGAGCTTGGTTCTAGATGTCCTTGCCACGAGCTTGTTAACTATGTTGACGAATTCTCCGCAGGCCACCTCAGGGGTCAATTCGGCTAACGACCAGCTTGGTGCATGTATGTGGTCGGACAGGTCGTCATACTTGTTTCTGACATGATAATCCTCGGCATGCTCTTTAGGATAATCCACGTAGCACATGTAATGAAACACTAGCGTCGCATGATCGCTGCGGCCCAGAGGAGTATCGGTTATCACTCTCTCGACAATCAGTTCTTCATTAGTGAATATTCGGTCCAATATGATGGCCTGTTACTTCCCCTGAATCTGATGGGCGTAGTGACGTGGCCACAAAGCGGGAAGTCTGAAACCAGATCTTGCAGGTCTGCTTTGAATTGCTCTCTTGGTATGGCCTGGGATTCTAGAGCATATAACTTGAAGTCACCAGTGACTGAAATGTGACTGTACTTCCTGTTTATCACTTGCCTCAACGCAGCCACCAATTTGCAGTTCATCTCAGTAGGAGACGATGGTGAGCGGTAAACAACAACCAACAGGCCAAGATCGTTCCCTCTCAGCCGGATACTACACCAAATGGAGTAAGGTATGTGGGTTTCCGAATGGTTTATGGGTTCGCATTTCAGGTTATTACGAAAGTATTGGGCTACCCCACCACCTTTGCTGGCTCGATGATTCTGGACAACGGACATGCTTGTTAGCGCGATTTCGGTATCCGTTATCTCACAGCGCAACCACGTTTCGGTGACATCGATGAGGTCCCAAGCCGCTGACGCCTGTCGATGTCCTAATTCAGATAATTTGCTGAGTAGACCTTTGGTATTTGTGTCTATGCAAAAGTGTGTTGGCATGGATGGATGAAGCAAGTGAGTTTACGCAAACCAATAAATGGTCGGCGACTAATCGTTTTTTGGATGGGTTGCAGACTCTCGAGATGAACTTGGTATCTAGTCAAGTATTAGATGCCCCAGATCCCGGTGTTTGTTCGTGCTCTGCTGTGTCTCTCCGGATATTATGGCTACTGTTGAAACCGTCCCCGAGTAGATTCTTGCAGTTGGCGTTTTCATTGAGAGTTGTGCCTCCACTGAATTGTCATTAGAAGGTGCTGGTGTTTCCGCTACTTTCAGACGAATTTCTGTTGGCAATCTGATACGGAATTTCGTCCAGTTCTCTAGGAGTGTTGGTGCCGTTAGTTCTGATTGTAACATAAGTTTTAACAGCCTGGGACCGCACCCTTTATAGTTTGGTGATATGGGGATTCTTGTCAAAGAGGTGGCCACGACATTTTCGAGAGAAAGTGCCTCCCGGATATAGTGCCATTGCTCGCGGTTGTGAATCAGAGTATCATTGGAAAAGTAATCTTTAAGCTCAGGAACACTGTGAGCAATCACTGTTTTCTTATTTTGACATTTTCTGTACGTATCTGTTAGCGGGATGCGCTGAAGGTTCTTTCCACGGGATTTCAGGTAGTATGCGCACTCCACTTGAATCGTTGCGGAGACGATTCGCAGACAGCAGAACAGCCTCTGTCTCGTCCACCGAGTTTAGTGTTACCCGAAGTAATCGGGGTTCACCGTAGTGCAACGCGTTTGGGTGACGCGAGATTCTTTTTAATGTCGTGCACACCGATCGTGCACACCGATCGACGTACAAATGGAACCCCATTGATTTCGATCGTCCGTCAACCTACCTTAATTGTATTGGATTTGTATTCGGGGACATTGGTGCACACAAGCTTTAAGACACCATGGTTGCGCCTGGTGGCTACTGGTTTTGGATTTGGAGCCCTAGTATCCGGTGTTTTTGGTGAATTTTCAACGGCATTGATGGGGTCATCCGTGCGGCGACGCTTTAGTTTTCCCTAGTCCGGGCACAAAGGTTACCGGCGCTCTTTTCGGCGTTTGCTTGGCGGCAATCGATGCGTACGTAGCCGGGTTGTTCACTATGGTCGGTTGACTGTCACTTACGGTCCCCTGTGTAGCGAACAGACTACTAGGTGAAACACACTGTACAGAAGTTGAGGCAGGCGCGCTGCAGGCAATGTTTTTACTTATAGGAGAGAGAGAGAATGGTTGGTACTGCTGGAGGCTGAGTCGTTGGGGTAAGGTTGGGACGCCCGGCTCTCTTCTTCGGCCTGACTAGGGAATTCGGGGTGTTATTTTCACATACAAGTGCAGGTCCGTTTCCTCCCATGGGTGTAACCCTGAAGCTCACCAGTTGCTCGACCGCTTCTGTTAGTCTTTCACACCTCTTCAGTAACACAACTAGACCGCTATCAACTGGGATAGATTTGCATACTTGGCAGACCCAAAACGCCTTTGCCATCTACGTGTACGTTTTGCTTTTGTCGACCCCTTCCCAAGGCGGGTAGTGTGATAGGATTTCAAACACGTAGTACACACCAGACCATTTTTACCACTTTTTCACATGATTCGCATTTGCTCTTCATACGAGACGTGTTCATAGTAGGCGTGCTGTTTTAAGGTCACGCGTTTGTCACTTCAGCTTCCCGCGTCTAGGTAAGGGTGAGTCAGCGTGGCACGCTG